ATGCTCAAATAAATAAAAAATTCACAAGTGTATATAATGTAATATATAATAAAATATAAGTATAAATGAGAATTTACAAAAAACTTTTTTTAAATTTTTTTTTATATTGACTGTCATTGTTAGTATAAAGATTGTGGCATAAGTTAAGCATTTTTCATCCTTGAAATTGATGCAAAAGCCCCTCTTTTCAGATTTGAATATCTCGAGCTTCTAGTGCCCTAATTTGGTCATCATGCTTAGATCATCGTATAATGGAAGCTTTGTCTAGATAGGCTTGAATGTTACTGGAACACACTAATTAACCTGAAGATGATCTATGTACATCGAAAGCATTTGTATTTTATCTGCATTAAACTTTGCTGGAATTTCATTTATAAGGTTCATAGATTTGTATTTTTTAAACTTTTTTTCAAGTTTCATTACAAGCAATTATTATTTTGATATAGGGTGATGAATACTTATGTCTTGGCAGAAAAATTATTCAAAAATTACAAATGTAATTCAGTTCAAATAAAATGAAATTATTTTTAAACTTCTGAAACCGTGTTTTCTTAATTTCTTTGATTCACTAACACAAGGTGTGTTACCTTTTCAACACTTGGCGGTATTCCATCTGTATTTAGTTGATACGGTTACAAGTACGATAACACGTTTCGGGCACTGCCCCTCTTCAGACAACATAAGCACATTATCCAACACAGAGAGAATATACATTCATAGGACTGGCATAATATTATACATCTGTTTTTGGTTTTGGAGCATTCCTTAAAATTTTTTTTATCTCCAATTATTCTTTTTACAATAGTGTTTAAAATCTTTATGTATAAGTAAACCAGGTTTTGCCAGGTGCAAGTAAATTCTGTACTGGCAAAACCTGGTTTATTTATACATAAAGATTTTAAACACTATTGTAAAAAGAATAATTGGAGATAAAAAAAAATTTTAAGGAATGCTCCAAAACCAAAAACAGATGTATAATATTATGCCAGTCCTATGAATGTATATTCTCTCTGTGTTGGATAATGTGCTTATGTTGTCTGAAGAGGGGCAGTGCCCGAAACGTGTTATCGTACTTGTAACCGTATCAACTAAATACAGATGGAATACCGCCAAGTGTTGAAAAGGTAACACACCTTGTGTTAGTGAATCAAATAAAATGAAATTAATTAAGTAGTAAATGGACTACAAAATATAATTTTCAAAATGTTTGCTTTCTGACATAATCACATTCTGTAGGTGTTCATAAAATTGATCAATAATAGTGTTTGACCACTGCTGCAATTCTTTTCATTGCATCTCTGATGTGCTTTTGAAGAGTATACAGGTACTCCATTACATCCAGGTAATGGAGAACCTGTTAATTAATAATGAATTTTAATTTCATTAAATAGCTCTCAAATTTTCCTGTTTTTAGAATTGTTTAAAAAAAATACATTTTTTAGAAGCTTAGGAGTTTTAATCTTTTGATGTGATTTAATAAAATATTTGTTCATTCATATATTTTAGTATATGAGAAAACTCACTTGTGTAAGTTTATTATCAAAATAAGTTTGCATGTTAAATACTAATATATTTAGCAGACTAATTAAGTCAAATTATTTTTCAAAAAATCAAATCTCTAAATGTCAGATTAGTTTAGACTATGTCTTAGCTAATTATTAATTATTGATACAAAGTAATTTGGATTAAAGATAGACAATTATGCTGCCATTTTTTACTAATATTAATAATTGCATTAATTTTTGAGTTAAATTTAACAAATCAGAATATTCTGAAAGAAAAGATTGACCTAGAGTAGGGCTCATACCTACAACTTCTGCTTATATACAGATGCATTACAAGTTATACTACATCTCTGATCTTCCAGACCAATTAGTTTGAAAAATATATCAAGAAACATTTACAGTTACGTGAAGGTCACTTCTACTATTTTTCAAATAGTTTCATTAAATAGGTGTTAAGTCATGTTGCTGTCTTGCTATCTAACATACAAAATAGCAAAATAATATATCATAAGTATCTATAGCTAATAAATAAAGTCTTGAGTTTATTTAAATTAATTCAAATTAATATAATACAGCTTGATCCTTATGTCAAACGTTAAATAGCAGGAAGGAAAACTCACTTTATTAATTATTAATAGTTTTTTCTACTATTCAAACTATTAATTAATAACCTCGTACTCATTGAGTTTTCCTTCCCGCTAATTAAAATTACTTTTCTTAGAGATTTCTGGTTAATTTAGTAATCAGTAACACAAAAGATTTATTGAGAAATTAAAAAACAAATTATTGTCTGAATTTAAATAATAGTAATGTTTGCATAATTACATACTAATACAACCAATAAAGGTAATAATTGCTTAGTATGGACCAGGAATTCTTAAATTTAATCACCAATAAAATTTTATTTGGACATTACATCAATTGTGTGATTATTCAATTCAGGGAGTCCAGTTTTGTAATTTTTCAGTCAATAAATATCATCAAAATAACCACTATTTTTGACTGAAGTTCATGTTGGAGAATAAAATCCTAAATTTGAAGGATTTTGGGCACTATTGTCAAAGATCCTTATTATGTTTTCTTAGTCACGTGAGGCTATGGAAAAATATTTTTTTGAGTATCCTGGTATAGAAGCTGATTCAAGATGATTTCACTTCATATCAATATTGAATTAAAAGCTTCAAATTTTGAATTATTTATTGATAAGTAAAATAAAAATGAGAAAATATGTTAAATATTTAAAGAAATTACCAAACAAATTGAATTTGTTACAGTAACATTACTCATTAGAATTTATTATTATACAAACTAATTTATCTTTTTATGNATAATAAATTTTTTAAAATTTATTATTGATTAAATGATTGTTCAGCTATTATATACAAATAAATAGCATTTGAATGACCTCACTTTGATATGCAAAAAAATATTAAATGTCATGAAAGCCACATTTGGACTAGTTTCAAGAAATTGATCCAAAATAACATTATCTTAATATTGAATCAATACTTTTTTACAAAATTTAATTTCTCTCTTATTTCTATTTAATACTTACATAAATGTATTTTAAAAAAGTAGTAATAATTGTTTTATTTCTTTATATAGAATGCCATATTATATGCATGATATCAATCCAGATCCTTCTCCTGCCATTGTATCAATTCAGCATCTTTCTACAAATGAATTAAAAGAATTACTTCATGATGAAAATAAAATTGAAAACCTTATCAGAGATTTACAACAGGTAACATAATCTAAAATTAGTTCTATATACTTTTTGAAAATCTTATTATTTAATATAAATAACTAATTATAAAAATTGTATAATGAAATATATATAAATGTATAAATGGTATGGAATAGTTGTTTAAAATCTAAGATTTTAAAAGGATTTTTTCATACTTATGTTAGTAAAAGCAATTTTAAATAATACTAATCATTAAAGCAATTTTAAATATTGATTAATCAAATTATAAAAGGTGTTATATGTTGAAAGCTACAAAATAGTTTTTAAAATTTTAAATATTTACAACAAAAGCAGGCATATTTTTGACATCTTACAATATACAAATTCTCAAACTAAATTTGTGTAAGGTAAGATGTAAAAACTACTTATAATATTAAATTAAAGTTTCTTTAGTTTATTAAATCTGTTTGCGGGGTATAATACATGTCAGGACATGACATGTATTATATCCCGCAAGTAAGATAGTCACTATTAGTTTTGTTGCCTACCCCAGTCATTTAAAATATATATATATACAACAAAACTCCAAATTAAAATAACATACATAAAGATAAATACTAGTAGGTAGTTCAAGCAATCTTCTTATCTTCAAATCATTTCACATCATTTAAAACAATAAATGTACAAGATTGTTCACAAACAATCTAGAATATTACAAAATTATACAAATTATTATTGATATTATGAAGCTTTAATTCTCTGCATTTTAACAAATTTTAATCAGATAGTTTGCTTTCTGTTAGCCAAATTGCATAGCAGTAACTTTGCATCATATGTAAACTGACTTTGAACACAATGAAGGACAGTCCTCTTTTCTGTGTAAAGATGAGCTGAAGGAAAACTTTATTCAAGTTTAAGAACTATTTGCCAATTACAGATCAAAGATATACATTAATAAAATGGGATGTAATCACAACTATGCATTTCAAGTGCAACTCTCTGTCATCAGTCTCTGCAATCTACAAGTAGCAAAGATTACAGTTTTATACATTTTTTAAAATTCTGTGACAATCATTAATTGAACTGATCCATTTCTATAAATATATTTGCTTAAAATTCAAGTTTCATATCTTCCTATGGAGGAAATATAAAAATGTATCATTATATGATATTTCCTCCAATTCTAATTAAAGTAAAGATTAAATTTAACTTGTTTAAAACTAACACAATGTTTGCATATTTGTTGTTCAAAATTCATCCAAAGCCAAGCATATAGTTCAAAGCATTTATTAATATTTATCCTTATATTTGCTCAGGAAAATATTATATATTTAAAAACATCAACTCACAAGCCTGATTTATGGTTAAAGCCAAATAATTGCCAAATTATCATCAATTAGTTTATAAAAAAAACTGTAAAATTGTTTGACTTCATTCAAGTAAGTTAAATGAAACATTTAAGGATAGACCTTAAAAACTTTAAAATTTCTTCAATTTATTAAAAGTTTAGAATGGCCGCAAGCCATGCGGAAGACCAAAGTAACTATGGCAAGATGCTATCAATGTAGACCTAAGGGCTCTGCACCTGAACCCAGACAATGCACTTGATCGAACAAAGTGGTGTTCAAAGATCTGAATAGCAGACCCTACATCTGTGGGACAATGCTAAGAAGATTAAAAGTGTCTTTATTAACTTTTTGAGAATTTATATAGGGTGTACAAAAAAGTGTTCTTGGAAATGGGTTATAAAACTTACCAAGATAAGCAAAAAATGTAGATAACATATTTGCAATAGTTATTGAAATATTTGAGATTAAACTTTTGCCAAACAATGCTAGAATAGGTTGCCGTTATAGACCTGACAGCTGAAAATGACTGAAGATGAAATTACAGATTGAAAAGCAATCACAAAAAGCTTGTCATTGTGGTTATTTTCCCCTTCTAAACTAGTAACACTGGGATTTTAAAATAACCTGAAGACATCATTTACTAAAAGTTTTGTGCAAAATAATGTGGAAACTATTGTATTTTTTCTAGTTTTAAAATATTGTTCAGTTCAATAACTGTATATCTTTAAAATGATAGTTTAAATAACTAGAGCATAATTTCTGAAAACTTTGACCTTGACTAATTTGATAACTATTGTGAATTTGTAAATATGTTACACTACATCTTTTGCTTATCTCAACAAGTTCTATCACCCATTTCCAGGAAGAATGCTTTTTTTGCAATACCCTATGTATTTATAAAAATAATTATTGTTAAAAACAATCTTAAAATTTTAAACATTCTTAAAGATTAACGATAAAGCAGTAATCAGTGATATACTGTGTGAAATTATAAGGCCATTTTAATTTTCTTGAAATAATATGCAAATATATATTACTTGGAATATGTAAGTCATTATTTTTAATAGAAAGAAATAATAATAATATATGAATATCTTCTGGTTAATTTAGTAATCAGTAACACAAAAGATTTATTGAGAAATTAAAAAACAAATTATTGTCTGAATTTAAATAATAGTAATGTTTGCATAATTACATACTAATACAACCAATAAAGGTAATAATTGCTTAGTATGGACCAGGAATTCTTAAATTTAATCACCAATAAAATTTTATTTGGACATTACATCAATTGTGTGATTATTCAATTCAGGGAGTCCAGTTTTGTAATTTTTCAGTCAATAAATATCATCAAAATAACCACTATTTTTGACTGAAGTTCATGTTGGAGAATAAAATCCTAAATTTGAAGGATTTTGGGCACTATTGTCAAAGATCCTTATTATGTTTTCTTAGTCACGTGAGGCTATGGAAAAATATTTTTTTGAGTATCCTGGTATAGAAGCTGATTCAAGATGATTTCACTTCATATCAATATTGAATTAAAAGCTTCAAATTTTGAATTATTTATTGATAAGTAAAATAAAAATGAGAAAATATGTTAAATATTTAAAGAAATTACCAAACAAATTGAATTTGTTACAGTAACATTACTCATTAGAATTTATTATTATACAAACTAATTTATCTTTTTATGACAGATTTTTTTATACTGTCTTGTTTGATTAGTTCTAAATTTAACAATTATATTAAACAAAAAAATAACATAATGAAAGATAAATTCTATGATTATTTACAATAATATATTAAGTATACAGCTTAGATTCTTTTTATGTAAAATGCAAATTTATGAACCTTATAAATGAAATTCCAGCATAATTTAATGCAGATAAAATACAAACACTTCCAATCTACATAGAAGATCATCTTCGGGTTAATGTGTTCCAAAATGGAATGTGAGGAAAGGAACATTTTAAAATTATTTGAAAATGCTCAAATAAATAAAAAATTCACAAGTGTATATAATGTAATATATAATAAAATATAAGTATAAATGAGAATTTACAAAAAACTTTTTTAAAATTTTTTTTTATATTGACTGTCATTGTTAGTATAAAGATTGTGGCATAAGTTAAGCATTTTTCATCCTTGAAATTGATGCAAAAGCCCCTTTTTTCAGATTTGAATATCTCGAGCTTCTAGTGCCCTAATTTGGTCGTCATGCTTAGATCATCGTATAATGGAAGCTTTGTCTAGATAGGCTTGAATGTCACTGGAACACACTAATTAACCTGAAGATGATCTATGTACATCGAAAGCATTTGTATTTTATCTGCATTAAACTTTGCTGGAATTTCATTTATAAGGTTCATAGATTTGCATTTTTTAAACTTTTTTTCAAGTTTCATTACAAGCAATTATTATTTTGATATAGGGTGATGAATACTTATGTCTTGGCAGAAAAATTATTCAAAAATTACAAATGTAATTCAGTTCAAATAAAATGAAATTATTTTTAAACTTCTGAAACCGTGTTTTCTTAATTTCTTTGATTCACTAACACAAGGTGTGTTACCTTTTCAACACTTGGCGGTATTCCATCTGTATTTAGTTGATACGGTTACAAGTACGATAACACGTTTCGGGCACTGCCCCTCTTCAGACAACATAAGCACATTATCCAACACAGAGAGAATATACATTCATAGGACTGGCATAATATTATACATCTGTTTTTGGTTTTGGAGCATTCCTTAAAACTTTTTTTATCTCCAATTATTCTTTTTACAATAGTGTTTAAAATCTTTATATATAAATAAACCAGGTTTTGCCAGTACAGAATTTACTTGCACCTGGCAAAACCTGGTTTACTTATACATAAAGATTTTAAACACTATTGTAAAAAGAATAATTGGAGATAAAAAAAATTTTAAGGAATGCTCCAAAACCAAAAACAGATGTAAAATATTATGCCAGTCCTATGAATGTATATTCTCTCTGTGTTGGATAATGTGCTTATGTTGTCTGAAGAGGGGCAGTGCCCGAAACGTGTTATCGTACTTGTAACCGTATCAACTAAATACAGATGGAATACCGCCAAGTGTTGAAAAGGTAACACACCTTGTGTTAGTGAATCAAAGAAATTAAGAAAACACGGTTTCAGAAGTTTAAAAATAATTTCATTTTATTTGAACTGAATTACATTTGTAATTTTTGAATAATTTTTCTGCCAAGACATAAGTATTCATCACCCTATATCAAAATAATAATTGCTTGTAATGAAACTTGAAAAAAAGTTTAAAAAATACAAATCTATGAACCTTATAAATGAAATTCCAGCAAAGTTTAATGCAGATAAAATACAAATGCTTTCGATGTACATAGATCATCTTCAGGTTAATTAGTGTGTTCCAGTGACATTCAAGCCTATCTAGACAAAGCTTCCATTATACGATGATCTAAGCATGATGACCAAATTAGGGCACTAGAAGCTCGAGATATTCAAATCTGAAAAGAGGGGCTTTTGCATCAATTTCAAGGATGAAAAATGCTTAACTTATGCCACAATCTTTATACTAACAATGACAGTCAATATAAAAAAAAATTTAAAAAAAGTTTTTTGTAAATTCTCATTTATACTTATATTTTATTATATATTACATTATATACACTTGTGAATTTTTTATTTATTTGAGCATTTTCAAATAA